TAACCCCGCTTTAAAAAAAAAGAAAAAAAAGGAGGCTACTCTGCCGCAGTGTCAAAAAGCGAATTTAACCATGCATCTACTATACTAACACCAGCCCGTAGTTATTCAGGCAATTTTTAAAATTTTCGCCTTAACTTCATTTATTGTGTTTAATTACCCAACTTTTTTAATATTCGCTAAAAAGCAAAAGTATGAATGCAGAGTTGTATAACGCCTTCAGAAACCACCAAGTGAGTTGTTTCTTGCACAATATGTTTCACGTAGTCCTTTTTTACACATTGCAAGGACAGCTGGCAATGTAAAAAAAAAAACCCTTCTTGCTTGGCTTGGCCCTATCACACGCTGTCGCTTATCAGCTGTGGCAAGTGAAAGCAAACTTGCCTTTGGCGAGAGAAAGTGGTCTCTCTCTTGCGCTTGAGCAAATCGACCATCACAAAAACAGCAGACAACAAACAATGCGTGCCGACAAGCTGAGACCCCAAGGTTCTTTGCCCATAAAAAGCATTGTGACTTGTGCACCGTGCTGCTTGAAAATGTGCAGTCGGTGAACAAGGTAGCCAGCAGGGTGACTGTGGTCACGGGGAAGTGGAACTGTTTTAATGGTAGCCGGCCTTTACTTTTCTTACACTGGGCTTTGTCAGATGACAGCGCAAGTGAACGCTGCTTGTTAAGTGCTGCTGCAGTGATACGAGAACCCATAAAATGTAAAACGCTGCAGGTGACCTGGTTCATTGATTTCAGTCACGAGAGCTGCTCGATTGCAGTGCACAAGCATTCATTCGCATGCTTTTTTTTCACATAGTGCACTTTTCTTTCTTTGCAACATGTAATAAAGGACTTTACAAGAAGCCTCATTAAAGAAAATTCAATGAGTGGTTTTTACAGCTGCTTTATAACTCTGCATTCATTTTGTGTCTTCACCCTTAAAATTCAAAAGAATGTTAACTGAACATGATATTATCTGGGGTTACACATCCCATAATATTGTACACAACTACTGAAGTTGATAAAAAAATAGCCACAGTAACTATAGGCTAGTGCAAGTAGTATGCATTCAATTCACTTCCAACGTGCCTTTCAATTTTGAATTCTTCGCTTAAGTTACATGAACTACATAAGTTCATGAAGAACACCCACAGTAACTATAGGCCAGTGCAAATAGTATACATTCAATTCAATTTGCTTCCAACGTGCCTTTCAATTTTAAAGTCTTGGCTAAAGTTACATGAATATACCTGTATACTCTGCACAGAAATATTGCATACACAAACGGCAGACCCAAAAGGACAAAAATTTAGTTTCACTGACTCTACATACACAATGTTGACATATAGATGTAGCTATCTACCACTTTAGTAAACACCACTTAAAGAAAGATGCGATTTGAAAAAAAGTTGTGTCAAATTGTAGCCTAGGGCAATCAAATTTCGCAGTATATATAGGCTTTTATGCTGAATTCAAATATGTAACTAGTTTTACAGTAAGTTGCACAGCTTTCATTTTATGCAACGACAATGCGTTACATATAGTTTGTTTTGGACAATCTTTTTATGCCACTCAACTTATATTGCTCTTCATTACCTGTGGAATGCAAATAACTAAGAAAAATGTATATAAGACATCTTAATGATCAAGAAAAATTATCATGTGAAAATTCTTAGAATCCTCAGCCAATACTAATTGTCTGCTTTAGGCTAATAATAACTACGCAAGCAATATAAAGTTTTAAAGAAGATACTTTCACCCTTCCCATGTCAATGAATACGTGGGCCAAATTTCATCCCGATCGGGCTATCAGAAGTACGACAATCATGATGTCCAAACTAAAAAAGTTGCCCAAAAATGGATCTTGAGAAAATGCATTTTAAAGGTATAAGTGAAGGCTCATGTATTCGGAAAAGATATGTTTTTGAGATGATTTCTTTCGTCATGGTAGCTTGGCAATCATGGTTATTTTGAGTGTGTGGCTTTTAGTGAACTCCTCACATGAAACGCGATGGCAAGCAGCCTGGTGACCATTTCCCGGAGACTGTAGACAATGAGCTCTTTTTAGTTTTTAGTAGCCACCTTGTGCTCTTTAAAAGCGACTTTCCCCTACTTTGAGTTTAATTACAATGTTCAGTTCTTTTGTCTTGAAAGTAGAGAAACTAAACTCGTCAAAGCAAATAAAAACGAAAAATGAGTAACTTTGAAAAAAAAAAAGCTAGTTTTTCGACACGCATCTCTACTTGAACTAGCCATGACCAATACAAAAAATAGTTTGCAGTACCGTATCTCCTAGCTATAACTGAGACTTGTTCACAGTCCGCGGAATTAGGACACGCAAGTTGTGGACATTCCATCCCAGAAACATGAGCTTATGCATGTAAAGTACCCTCTGGAAAAAGACAATTTCCCAGGTGGTGCGTGCATTCATACACAACACTTGGGATGCCGTATGTGAACTCTCCTAATGTTTGTGCCAGAGAAACCAGAAATTTCAGGACAAAGCTTCGACAGAGCAGGAACAATACCAAGAAACAAAATGCTACATTGAATGCCATTGACGAAAAATGCGCAACTACAAACTGAGAAAAATGCCGTGCCATTACTGAGGAGGAAAATCATTTTTCCTGTTTTAATCTCGAGCCGATGTTCATCTAAACAATGCTGCACACTTTTGATCTCAACAAAGGCAATTTGCCACCTATGTATTCCAAGTGCTCAATCGATTTTATGAGCTGCACTTAAAATGTTTAATATCTGTGTTGCTTTTATTAATCATGAACTTATTATTCCCATAAAAAATCTGACACTTTAAGAATATATTCATATTGAAATAATTTGACTGGTGTATGAATTTCTTTCGATATGCTTATTCTCGACCAGACAACTTTCGCCATGCTCTTGACCTCAAGCCCATATATACTAAATAGAAGCATATGGACTACTGTCGATGTAGAAAAGCTCATTAGAAACCCCATTTGGAATACAGCATTGTACAATGCATGCACTGAAAAGATTCATTGCCACTTTAGACATTAATACTGTGCAAATAAGCTCCAAATAAAAGCACAGTTACTTCTCATGTCATTACAAGCAGTCGTGCCAACACAATGGGACTATTTCCGCATCAAAGAAGGAATTGAATCTGAGGGAAATTACAGCCCATGAAGTTGAATTTGTACTATGCGTGTATCAAAACATAAAGCAAGGGCTTTATTTACTTCATCAAACAACACTGAAACACAAGTATGTAGTGCAGTGAAGCACACAAATAGCATTAGGAACAGTCATGTAGTGGGGTGTACTACTACACTAAAACCTCATTATTTCGAACTCTTATTTCAAAATAATGCTTAATTTGAAAGACTTCAGCAGTCCCGTATTTCACAATGCAAGTTAGAGTGGATAATTTGAAGTGGTTTTTGGCACAAGGCCGATTAATTTGAAAACTCTGGGTGCCCTGTGGCTATTCCCGAACCAGATTTCGCCACAATTTCACTAACATGACAGTCCTTATGAGCCACAAGGCAATGCAGTGCAGCAATAATAGTGAGTGACAGGTAAAGCCCCACAGCCTCGCTTCTACCAGTGGAAAAAAAAAATAGTGGTTTTGTGATCGACATGTGCGCCTGTGGAAAAGATGTGCTTCCCTGCACCACAATGGTGACCCGTGGGCAGCACACCGCATGCCTCTTGCAATGTCAGCGCGTCATGATTTACCCATTCCTTCTTGTAATAATAAAAAAATTATTAAAGGTCAGTCTGATACAATTCGCGATGTATGCAAACCTCCGAGTGGTGGTTTGCCCCAGCAATCCCGCACTTGTACTACTGGCAGAGTTCCTGTTTGCAATGCCTACTTTGAAAACTCAGAAAATTTCAATGATCATGCTTTCCAGCCAAAACATATATAGCTAATTCCGTTATGCTGGTCATTACTGAATGCTTTATTTTACCAGAAAGAATAGCGAATGGCCGCATCATGACGTGCTGACGCTTCGAGAAGCAGGCGACATGCTGCCGGCGTGTCATCACTGTCTTGCAAAGAAGCATATCTTTTCAGCAGGAGCACGTTTTAGCTGATTTACAAGACAGTTTTTTTTTTTCTTGCACTGGCAGCAGCGAGGCCCGCCATTTTCCTGTGTTTGCGAAAAAATTTGAGACCAAGTATCGCTCGAAAACATAACTCTTGGAGCCGGAAACTAGCCAACATGGTAAACGACCAGCCGTGATTACAAATTTGACAGTTTGCAAATATTTCTAAGGTGGCTTTTGTGTAAGGTTTGTTTTCCAACCAAAAACTCTCGTTCACAGACTGCTTTTCTCACTCATTGTGGTTTTACCTCTCTGAATTCTAGTGAAGGCATGCGAGTACTACAAAACATCTTTTTACCCAACAACTACTATGGGGTTGTCCCGCTTCGTACTTAGTCTCAGCCTTCGCATGGTGGACGACATAGAACCCGTTGATCATGAGGAAAAGGGGTAAGGCAAAAACGCAATGAGCGAAAAAAATCAGTCTGTGAAAAAGAGTTTTTGGTTAGAAAACAAAGCTTACAGGAAAGCCACGTTACAGATTATTGCAAACTGTTCATTATAAGTTCTTTGCAATCCACTTTTTGTATGTTTCGTTAATTCTAAAACCCGCTGTGTTCGAAAATTTTTCACAGTCCCGGTGACTTTGAATCAACGAGGTTTTACTGTAGTTACATTTACAATACTGATATTCAATGTACCTTGTACCTATGACACTGCATTAGAATTAGCTCAAACTATTTTGCGATTCTCACCAGAAGTTATACATCAGAGTTTGACTTTTTTTTTTAAATACTGCAAGTTTGTAAGTGCTCTCTGAGAAAAAAAACATTTAACTCTTGTCACTAGTCTCTCACCATGTTGCTAATCATGCCAGGTGGGAAGAGTATAACAAGACAAGCTGGTTCCTATAGCCACTGAACATACAAAAACTTGCCAAAACTTTTGAAACATGAGAACAGAGAAGTAAGAATACTTGCTTTTGATTCTCCTTTAGCAACAAGCTCAGAAATCCTTGATGCGAGTGAATTGACTTCTTCCTGTACATATGTAGAATCAGTGCAAGAAGTACAGAGGGGAAAAGAAACATAAGAAAGCTTGACAATGAATGAGCAGATAAAGACTAAGAAACATAATAGAAAAATGCCCACGAGATAAACCTTGACACCTTTATCCAAATAGATGGATAATAGATAGAATATTCAGTTCCCCTGCCACAAAGGGCATTTCATATATAACCGAAGTATATAGTGAAGGGAAATGTGGCACAAAAAGTCAACACATAAACACAGACGGGAAGTATGGGTATGCATGCATTCTCTTGCTCAGTGTTCCTGTTCTTAAATCCTTGAGCTGCTTGTTTCCTTTCAACATGAACAATGGGCTGATAACAAGATTCTGAGTAAGGGTATGGTAAATGCAGCTCTCTGTTAGTAAACACAAGTTAAGGAAACCAGCATGACAACGTAACCATTTTACAAATGGAATTTCTCATGCAATTTCGGCAGCTTGCAAAAAAATTGCATAATTAGCATTTCACACACCACGTTGATTTGATGGATATGTGGGGTTTAAAGGCCAACTCCGGCAATTTTTCGAGGTCGGTGGATCTCAATGAAATTCACTGGGCACGTTCATTTGCACGTTTGCGCCATTCATGCCAAATTGCAGGCTTGAGAGTTTCGCAGATTCTTTTCAAATGAATTTTATAGCTTGCCTCCAAATGTTCACCTCGCTTGCCAGAATTAATGGCAACATTGTGTGCGACATCGATTTTTGCCAGGCAGAAGTGACGGATCTGATGTGCCCCTGCAGCGTCTGCTTGTCTGGTATGGGTTGTGTGGGTTCGGCCAGCACTTCTTTGGTTGAGCGTGCGATTCTCTTTTCTTTGTTGGTGGGGGTGTGTTACACGGCAAGTGGTGTTGCATTGTGGGCCGCACATGATTTGCCATATGTTCACCATAACAGTGTAAGCATTTTAACCGATCACCTCAAATGGCGAGGATAGATAGTGCCATCTGGCGGGCATTATAAGTCATCAGTAGAGGCCGGATTTTTAGGCACTAAAAAAGTGAGTTTTAGTTGTCAAAGACAACCAGGTAAAACACCACTTTAGGCCTTCAAAATCATAATTATAGGCACAATAAATTTCTACAAAAATTGAAATATCCCAAAACAACTACGGCGGTGACTTGTATCTACCGCAAGAAACAAAAAAATGATGTTTAAGATAGCAGAAAAATACCAACGATTGAACATAGGCATGCATTTCCCACGCGATTCGCAGTATGTGGTCTTTCGTGTTATTGTCTTGGACTGTGCGTCAAGTGTCCACCATTCAATTTACACTCTCATGGGTCTTTTTCGTTTCATTGTGGCTGGTAAGGGCAGCACAGGAGCAAATAACCAGACCACTGATACCCCAGAAGAGAGGCATGCTAGGTCTAATTTTGTAGGACCAATTTCTCCCCTATTGGTGAACACCTTAAAGGGCCCCTCATTAGGTTTGAGCATTTCGAGCTGACAAGCGTAATAATGCACTGGGCACTTCGGATCACTCCTGTTAAGATTTAAAAAATTACATGCCGGGAAAAAAACGCTCAATTTCTAATGAATACCACTTGCCCTTCTCACAGGCGTGCACCCCAAGATCTAGGGAGTGACGTACAGTTTTTTATGTCACTCCTTTACGTTGACATTGGTGAGCTGACATTGCATACTGCATGCTCTTTATCAGAACTTCGTTGAATGCTAACTGTATCTACAAAAACAGATGAAAAATGTTCCCTCTCTTGATTATATCCTGCATTTTAAATGGTACCTCATTAAGAGTGTTGCACGTGAAATTATTCTACTTGGCATGTGCAATTTGTGTGTTCTGTTGTGTAGCATGAATGAGGAGTACTTTGATTTGGGCTAGCTGCTTCAATCAATTTGAAAGGGAAATGCACAAATAAAGGGAAAAGAAAAACAGCACTCTTTGTCTCTATGTCTTTCTTATCCCTGTGTCTTTTCACTGCCCTTTAAAAATCAGTATAATGAATAAACGCTGAGAAAAATAATTAAACATGCAAACGAAATATGAGCTTATTATTTTTATTTTTGTTTTGAATAGCCTCGATATGCTATTCACTAATTGGACCTTGTTTAGCGTCTACCTCGGTGGACCAGTCGCTATAGGGTGCTCCGCTGCTGACCCGAATGCCGCGGGTTCGATTGTGGCAGTGGCGGTCACATCTAGATGGATGCGAAAAAGTAGATGCCCGTGTACTGTGCAATGTCAGTGTACGTTAAATAACACCAGTTGGTCAAAATTTGCAAAAACTTCCACTACGGCATCCCTAATATTCATATCGTGGTTGTAAAAAACCACGCATACTACCACTACCACTACTGCTGCCGCCGCCGCCGCCGCCGCCGCCGCCGCCGCCGCCGCTGCTGCTGCTGTTGCTACTACTGCTACTACTACTACTACTACTACTACTACTACTACTACTACTACTACTACTACTACTACTACTACTACTACTAATACCCCATTTCGCTTGAGTTAGTTTTCTCGTTCCTGCACCCTGCCTTCGCTAGCCCTGACAATGCTTAGCTTGTGTTTGGTGCGTCGTCTCTGACCGCAGTTTCAGTGGAGAGACGTGTTGTGTCAGGGTCACAATACATGATCCTTGCCAGCCTCTCCTAAAGTACACACACTGACTGATCCATCCCACAGAAACTGGTAATACACAACAGCGAGCGCCGAATCGACACAACATCAATGGCGTACGCGCACGAGTAGGCTGGGGCATGTCATGTGCGCGTGACCATGCTTACGCATGTTGTTCTTGGTGCGTATGCGCCATGTGATTCTCCAGCCCTGATACCGAAGAAAAAATGGAAGAATTGATTGATTTGTGGCGTTTCATTTCATTCCATTTTATTCTGTCATGAAACTAATGAAAAGAAATTATTGGAAAAATTATATCTGATATGACATTATAAAATCTTAATTACCATTGAGCGAAGAAGACTGTTTAGGTACATTCATTTTCGAATGAGAGTTTAGCATGAAATGCTTGACATAGGAGCTTTAACTGCAGTTTAATTCGATGCGACGATAGTAATTCCCATCCTAGTTAATTTTTTATATTGTTACATCTGTTAATTTTGGGTAATGGCTCAGGACAAACCTTGAAGCGGTGTTCTGTATTTTTTAATGTTTGTCACTTAAAAACATATGACAAAGGATCTCATACGGAACACACATATTCAAGCATACGATGAATATATGCTAAGTACACCGGTGATTATAAACATGGCGGCGCCTGTCTCAGGCTTCGCTGTACAAAGTATAACGATTTGGCGACCTTCGCCACCACTGAGTCAACAAGAGCATTCCATGAGTGGTCTTTCATGGTTTTTCATTCCTTCTCCAGCAACCCGCCGCTGCCCAGAAAAACCTGTTCTTTCTTTCCCACCGCTACACCCAGGTTTTCAGGGAGGTTCTTCAGTTCCTTCAGGGCACTGGACAGCTATTTGTAGAAGGTGGTCGCCACGTGCTCGGCTATAGACGTCACTTTTATTTTCTTACCCCATCTTTATTTCTCTCTCCTGCTTCCCCTGCAGACGCTGAGGCTTCCACTTAGGGCTGCTGAAATAGTGTCTTTTGCATTCCTCATGCTCCTCTTCCAATCACTCGCAGCATGTCAGCTTTGTCTTTGTTGAGCCTTATAGTGTTTCGAAATATCAATTCTGCCTTTTTTATATGAATAACGGTTTCACACCACGCTCGAAAACAAAATTTGGGCTTGAACAGCGCTCATATACACACTCATTTGGAAAATAGGCATTTATAGGCACTTATAGGCTTTTAGGCACAAACACCCAAAATAGGCATTTATAGGAACTATAAAAACACCATAAAAGCCCTTCTTAACCTCTAATTCATGCTCATATATCAAAACGGCATGATAAAAACACAAGGAAGAAAATAGGCATTTTCCTATAATCTGGTCTCTAGTAATCAGGCAGGTTCGGGCAAAGGATTACGTCACACATACAAGCATAATCGGTTGGGTTTCAGTTTCAGTATTGCGGTTTTTTGCTAATTAAAAATTATTTTCACACTTGTTGAGGATTTCAGCTATCGAGCGCGTGACTAGAGTGTGTCAGGAACATGAAAGCGCCATTACCCTGACAGAGTAAAAAATTGACGAAGTTGGCCTTTATGACTCCAATAGGTGCTATCCCTTGTACTCGAACATAGGTTATTCAACAGTTTCAGAATCTGAATTCTAACAAACAATATTATTATTATTCTTGTCTCGAAGAATTGAAGAGCTTTGCACACCTGACAAAGTCAAAATAAGCAATGACAAGCTAATGCTGTAATTTAAAAAAAAGAATAACGCACCTGGTGTAAATCTCTCAGCTGATTAATTTGCGATCGAAGATTGTCGCACTCTTTCTGACATAAGGAAAGGGCCTGCCATGAGAAAGAAAAAGGCAAGCATACATGTTAGAACAAGTGGCAAAAAAATACATTGAACATCATATGGCCAGTTCAGGTTCTGCACGAGTTAGCCACTCAAAGAATGTTTAAACTGTATTGAGGTCTTGTTGATAACCGCTTGGCAAGGCGCTGAAAATACCACACATTAAATAGTACTGAGTGCTGAGTAAATGTCATTTAAAATATGCATAAAGAAGCTTTTTTTTGTTTAGCAAAGTGGTGAAAAACAATTCTAACTTTTTTGCAACCTAGCATTACAGCACAGGACATATTGAGCATAGTAAGCGCCCATATTAAGAATAGAAAGAAGAGCAGCAGCAGAGTGGGCAATATACAGACTTACTTTCCAAGGTTTCTTAAATCTGTGCTTGTAGCTACTGGCGATGTATTATCTACTGCCAAGAAGCTCCAGTCCTACAATGTCATTCGAGTGCATGTTTTACTAAGCCTTCAAGCTGTCCTTGGTATGTTTTCAGAGAGTGATGAATGCAACCGTTTTTTTTTTTTTTTATGCCCACACCATTCCAGGCCATCCTGGCCTCAGACGAGGGTGGCACGTATAGCTTGTTGGGTTACATACTGCACTGGCATTCATCATGCTGCACTGCTATTCACTGCTGCTTGTGTGGGACTGCTTCAAGTGGATGTTGTCTACAGAAACAAAAGCAGCATTGCCACTCCCCATGCTGGCCCAACAAACTAAGCACTCTAAATAACTAAACTAAACTAACACAAACTAAATTAACAAACCAAAAAAAAAGAAACAAGAATAAACATACAAAAAAACATTGCGAGAAAGAAAAGGGAGTGGGGGAGTGTCAATCGTAAGTGTCAACATCAGCGTTGCGGTCTTGTAGTGGCTTGGAGTGGCCGAACATCCGAGGGTAGGGTTTCCCACTAAGTTGAGAGTCTCAAAGGATCAACACAGCTAGCAAAATTTATTTCTTTCACAACAACTCGTGTATGTCCTACTGGGACACATGTGAACAGACGAGACGGCGCAGCTGGCTTCCGCAAAAGCACGGGTCAAAGCTTTGCTCTTAACTAAAATCTTCTGACAGGAATGCGAAAACGTGCCTGGCTCCTTTTTTATTGACAGTCTAGGCTGGTTTTTTGCCATCGTCACCACCACCGTCATTCACCGTATATGTATGCGTATCTATATATATATGAAGACTCAAAAAAGAAAAAAAAAAGCCGACCATGCTCGGCGCCCAGCTCGACATGATACGGCGACGCAAGCTTTTCTCTCATGCGTACTTTGCTCCGCGGATAGGGGAAGGGCGTTTAGATGCTTGTGTGCGCACGCTTATCCTTTGGTTCGGAGAATCTTGTGCCTTCAGCTTTCACTAGAACGATCGCATTAGTTTCCGGGCCCACAAAGGTCACTTCAGCTTCAGCGCAGGCCCCATTTGCGAACAGAACGCGCTTTTCATACACAGCGAGGTATAACTGGGACACTTGTTTGTACTTATCTGTACCTGTGATTATGTATCGTGCATAGTTTTTTTTTTGTTGTTGAAACACTGCGTTACGTGTCCAGCAGTAAACATTAGTTCGCTCTCGTCTTGTGTGTATCGTTTTCATGCGTCATTTGTGCGTGAGCAGCACGCTGCGCGTTTTAATCTGCTTGCCGTTCTCAGTGTGACGCTCCAAGTTATTGCTGTCGCATTCAATGCTTTGCCCTTGGGGCGAAACTGTGGCTTTTTTTAAATGTATTTACAGCCTTTAATTTACTGCTGCGTGCCCTCGGAGCTCGTAGATTGCTATCGCATCGCCGCAACCGCGATGTTGTGCGCGGGGATTGTGGCAAACGGTAGTTCTTTTTCCAAGCTCCGTGTGCTTCACTGCGCACGCCCCTTCAAAAAACAGTCGTTTTATGCCATCTATGATCGCATCTGCCGCGGTTTTGTCCGGAGGGTTTGCAGAAAGCAGCGTTGCTTTGACTGGTTGAGTGTTGGACGCACGCACACTTCTGGGGCTCTGTCAGTTATGTCCTCGCCATACATGATCGCCTCAAGAGCGATTGCGGTTTTGTCCACAGCGGTTGCGGCAATGACAATTAGGCACACTGTAGAAGACAGTGCGTGCGCCGGTCGCACCCGTAATTCTGAAGCTTCGAGTGCGCTGCTCTTGGCCTTCGTTCGACGATTTCTGTACTAAAGTTCGTATCACCCCCCGTGATTAGGAATTTCGTTCGAAACATTAGAATTTAGGCCCGACAGACATAGTGGAATTCCACTGGGGAGTTTCACGAATTCCTATCTGCTGCGGTTTCTCATCACTGAGATTATACTGTACATTTAGATGAATGCCTTTTATACTCATTCATAACAAAATGGGGTAGATTCGAAAAGCCTGGAGCGGATTAAGCCACTTTTCTGTCAAGGCGGCCAGATCACGCACAGAAGTTTTGATTTCTGGGAAATTTTCATGACAACCATACAAACAGACGACATGGTCCTAATCCGGGGGTCTCCCGGCCAATCCGGGAGACTTGGCAGGTATGGATATGTGCATGAATGTTGATCACAGCCACAACCCAACTGAGGGCCTAATTTGCAAAAGGAACAAACGATCAGTTCACAAGTTCAAACCCCTCGGACTAACACAGAACTTGCATGCGAGGTGCGAAGTGCCTCCCAGGCATTTCGCACCTAAGTATGCAAAAGTGAAAATTGTTTAAAGCACCCGATTTGTGCTTAAACTGTTTGGCAAATAAAGAGTTTTTCTATTCACATTTATCCATTTAAAACACTTCGCTCTTTAGAAGTGCCACTGGCGTCGCAATTACTCACATAAAGGGTGCACAGCTCTCAAAGAGCCTTGTTTCCAGCATCTCATGCTCTTTGTTCATTCATGCCCTACAACCTGAGTATTATCTATGGGAAGATGACATCCACAATCTTTGCAATACAATGCAAGGTTGGATCCTCCCCTTGCCTTTGTGCAGACACATCTTATTGTCGAAGCTCATCTCTTCTTCAACCTGCGTTTCCTGGTTTTGGTATCCAATCTTTCAAGCTAGAGTTTTTTCTACAATATACTATGCAAACTAGCCATGCAAATTCAGCTAGCATAACTTAAAAGACAAAAGAGGCACCAGTGCTGTCAGAAGCATATAAGTGACACTTTAAGCCACCGAATGGCAAAACCACTAAGTGTAGTATTCCAGTAATCCGCGAACTTTAAGGGGCGCTAGGTTCTGTTTGGCAGACTGAATTTCATTTAAAGAATACTGTAAGTAACACGTTGTACAAACCGCAGTGAGTGTACCCCAAGTGCCATAAAGAGGTGCTAGCTAAAAAATTCTGGCCTACCCCTTGAATGAATCCCAAAGCATGTTGGCACACTATGGCTAACTGAAGCTAATGTGCAATGCTGCAGAAATGAATTATGCAGGTATTTTCATGCGATCAAATATTGCTTTCAATTGTATACTTCAAACCTACAAAGTGGTTCCTGACTGAAATTACTGCAATGTCGACGAAAATGCCTATGAGGTTCTATGAGGTTGCCCCTCTATCAAAGGAATCAGGTAATAAACCTCAACAACGTGACACTTCTCAAGACATACTTCGTTCACTGCTGCCACTTTCTTCTCATGATTATATGTTGCGTTGTACAGTTCTTTTTTTTGTCGCTGCACCTCCTCTTCCAGATGTTTTCTCTGTTCTTCCTTCTCTTTCAGGCTGTCCTCCAATGACTTCAACGTGCCTACTTTACCTGCAGTTGAAGAACAACTTCATTGTGGTGCAGTGAAAAATAACACACAGAATGCTTAAAAATTGTATCTAAACTAACCCTCTCCAAAGTATTGCGTGCAAGCTGCCAACTATTTGCAGCTTACTACTCAAAGGAGTTTTATCTCTTTCAAAATGCAGGGGCACACTGCAATTCAACTTTCATTCAATTTCAGTTTATTCAGACCCAAACAGTCAGGGTTGAAAGATCTAAAGCCACAACAACCTTGCCCAAGTTGGACCCTTCCAGCCATAAATTTGCTCAGGAGCAGTGATAAAAACACAGATTTTTTTAAATTTTTACAAGAGAACATAACAAAAAATAAAAAGCTCAGAAGCTGGAAAAGCATCGTGAATGGGCAACAGCTATCAATAATAGAAAAAAAAAGATGCGGAAAACAAAGCAAAAATACTAGTTACTATAAACAGCAACATATCTGAAAGTAAAGATGATGCAAGCACTATACGTCCAATGTACCACAGCCATTTCAAACGATGCTTAACTTTAGATGTGTTACAAATATATAGAGTACTATAAACTTGGGCTGACTGGTAGCTATCAAGTTCAAAATAAACTGTACCAATCGTATACCTTGAGACGCACCACGTCCATGTTACCTTTTGGGGTGTGACAGAGCTACAGTGGAGTTCCCTGAAATTATTTTCACCACCTGGCATTCCTCAAATTAAAAGTACATTGAGCAGAACAAAATAGATCAGTGATAGTTGTTAGGCTTCTACAATTACAAAAAGTCTTTTGGCACAAGAAGAAGCATAATGAAGCAAAAAAGACAGAAAAGCAAAGTGGGTGACTGGTGCTGTTAGGACAAATATTTCAACAGTGTCTAAAGTTCATTGTCCATCTGTCTGTGAGTCTATTGTGCCCACATTAATTTTTGACTAGTAGAAATGAACTACAAATTATTTAAAACAAGCAGAATACTGATCGATATTTCAAGAGCTTTTATAACGCCATAGTGGCCCAAATATGATTATGATGATGGTGACAAATCCGGTTTTATGAAGCACTGAGCAGTTGTAGCCAAAGTGTTCCAAGACATGTTTTACTGTGTGACTAATGGTGCGATACATAGGGACCCAAAATCTTGAGTCCTAGGAGTGTGTAAAGTACACATAATTACGTAATTATTAAAATCCCAATGTGATGGGAAAGATGCACAATGAAGATAAAAAATGTGTCACAGAAGAAATATGTGCAGAGTCGTGAGCAATGCTAGGCACTACTGCCTCATAAGTATCTCCAAGAGCAAGGGCCTGGAAATGAGTGCATTTAAATTAAAATCTCTTGCAACGATCTGACGACTTCTAAAAATGTTACGACTTATTTATGCTAAAATGATAGGTCACTGCCTAAAAACATTGCCAGATTATCAGAATAGTATGTTTCGGTAAGCTTTGAAGAGGTGTAATCTGCCTTTTTCTTTTTTTTAAGGCTCTATCTCTTGACCCAGCAATATGGTTCAGTCGCACATCTACTATAAGTGAGTAACTCCCAGCCAGAACTTTATTCTGCACACTACAACTGTGCTCTATTCTGTCTTATTCGAACTTTCCAGAATAGGACATCATTTTGTACTGATTTGTTAGTTCACAGTCGGCTCAATGTGCACTGCTTGAGGGAACAGACAACCAATCTTCATCGTGTCTGTTTTCTTTAGCACAAATGAAAAGCTCACAAATCAGAATGTCTCTGATGGCACGGTAACGTGCGAAACGCCATGAAACATTAACCATATAATCAGAATTTTTTTATCTGCACCAACTATGAACACAAAACACACACTGCAAACAGTGGAAGGTGAGTAGGAGCGTGGCTCGTGTTTGTGCACAACGGTTTACTCAATGCGCATGCACTGCAGCTCGTTACGTTCCCCTAGTTGCTGCAAAGGCGGTGCTGCTTCTGAGCGTGCAACTTCCTTTACCTCGTAAGCAGCACAGAATAGAGTGGGGATTCATCGTAATACTATATATTTGGCTTGTGCGAATAGTGAAATTTAGGTTTGAAGTTGATTGGAAAAAAATAGTAATTTTGGTTGAATAATTTTGAATCAAATTCAAATACACTGGACTCTCAATAAACGATACTCGCTTGAACGAAAATCCCTCATGAACGGGCCTCATTAATGGAACTAAACGGGCTCATATGGCTGGATTTTCATGTGCTGGGCAGTAAAATTCATCAGTTAATCGAAATAGTGCTTATTGGTCACCTACGGTTTTACGGCACAAATTCTAAACACAGCATAGACTCGCTCATGCCAAAGGTAGTCTCACAACCACGGCAACACCTTGAGATCGAGACAAGCCAATCCAGTAGCCATTCTCCCTTGTGGCTGAGGGAACCAATCTATTTATTTCATTTACAGGATACTGCGGTCGAAAGACCAAGCAGGAGGGCATAATAAAAAGTGATTCACAATGTAACTTAAATAAAAAGAAAGTTCAAGCAATAAAAAACATGTTAAGGCAGTAGAACACAGGATAACATTTGAACAAAGTTAAATAACAGCAAGAAATTGCAAATTGCAACTGGAGAATGCAAATCAAATACAACGTGAGACAGTCCGACATCTTGAGTTGTACGGTTAAAAACGGAAAGATACATAGTTATCAAAGTCAGGATTTTCATTATCACAGAATGCTTCAAAAGGTAACGCGTTCCAATCATTGATCGTCCGAAGAAAGAACGAGTTCATGAAAAGATTAGTACGTGCGAAGTAAGGTTTAGAGTGTAGCTGTGAGTAGGTCGAGTTTGTCTTGAGATTCGATTTCTTATATAAGTTTCTGGACAAATGTTAAATTTACGGAAATAAAGTGAGTGTAGAAATTTCAGCTGGGCAATAGCTCTTCGGTATTGTAAAGTAGGGATATCATTAATGGCCATGATCGTTGTTGGTGAGTTATTTCTGTGGTAGGCATTAAAGATAAAGCGAACTGCCTTTTGCTGCACCATCTCAAGCTTCTTAACATCTTTCTTTATATGTGGGTCCCAAACGACACTAGCATAATCTAACTTTGGTCTTATAAAAGCATTGTAGGCCAACATTTTGATTTCTGAGGGCGCCGTTTTTAATTTGTGTCTCAAAAAACCGAGTTTTCTAGAAGCAGATGAGCATGTTTTATTAATGTGGCTTGACCATGTTAGGTGACTTGTAATTGTGACGCCCAAATATTTATATTCGTTAACCTCAGTCAATGGACAGTTGTTGAGAGAATACGTATAATTAAAACGATGTTTCTTATTTGTTATATGCATGACAACTGATTTATCGCTATTTCATTTCATTGACCAATCTTCACACCACTTAGAAATGGCACAAAGGTTGGATTGCAGGCATTTCTGGTCATTCAGAGAAGTAATCGTTCTATAAAGTATGCAGTCATCTGCAAAAAGCTTTATGTGGACTTGTGATGTGTTTATTGATTTACATGGTCATTTATATACACTAGAAAGAGAATAGGTCCCAAAACACTACCTTGAGGAACTCCGGATGATACTGGTAGAATACCAGACATACAGTCATTTACTTTAACATACTGCTTGCGATTGTCAAGGTAAGAACGGATCCAGTCAATGAAGTTAACAGGTAGACCTAGGATATATAATTTAGAAATGAGTTTGCTATGCGTGACAAGATCAAAGGCTTTACTAAAATCTAAAAAAATAGCATCAATTTGATTCCCCATATCCAGCGACGACGTAAACTCATAAATTGTTGTAACTAGCTGCGTTGTGGTCGATAATTTTTTTTTAAATCTGTGCTGTAATGGCGACAGAAGGTGGTTTTCTTCAAGGAATGTTGTGATGTAATGTGCGACTATGTGTTCTAATAGCTTACATGACGTACACGTTAAGGAAATAGGCCTGTAGTTTGCAATGTTTAAACGATCCCCTTTCTTAAACACCGGTACTACACGTGCCATGCGCCAGTCATCAGGAATGAAGGAATTTTCGAAGGAGAGGCGAAAAACGCTTTTGAAAATGTGCGCAAGGGGTTCGGCATATTTACACAAGAATGTGTTAGGGATATTATCTGGACCAGCTGAAGATTTATTTTTCAGGTTAAGCAGCAAAGAAAATATGCCCTCATAAGTTATGAACTCTGATGACATTACTGGAAGAAGGTCGTCATGTGGTGATTCATGTTGGGGAGCAGAAAATACGGGGCAGAAGTATCTGTTAAACTGATCAGCGACAACCGACGCATCATTTACAATGGAACCATCAACAGTTATTTGACTGGGCATAGCATCCCTTTGTTCTAAATATCGCCAGAATTTTTCAGGGCTTTCTGTCAAAAATTCAGATAATGAATGAGTGAAATATCTAGTTTTTGCGTCGGAGAAGTTGGAAGCAAGGCTGACTTTTAATATATATATCTCACTAACTGGTTTTTTATGTTTTTTGGCTCGTTTTAGCCTACGGTGTAAATGAATGATTTCTCTTGTCATCCACGGGTTATTTTTGTTAGTGCGAACATATTTGGAGGCGACAAATTTTTCAATGCAATAATGAATAGTTTCTTTCAGAGCATGCCAGAGTGTTGCGACGCAGCCAGGCATGTTATCACAAAATTCCCACAAACAGCCAAGTATTGCATGGTCATCGGCTTTAGCGAAATCTTTTATTAACTTTTTTTCTTGTTTTTTTGTGCAACTTCGCATCACCAAGCGGAAAGGAAAGGTACACCGCCTTGTGGTCTGACACACCATCAACCCCATCCACAGAGTATGTAGAAATATTACTAATAAAAATTAAATCTATTACCGAACGGGCACTTCCAGCTTCTCTGGTGTACTCTGTAACAGTTTGTTTTAGATCACACATAATCATAATACCCACAAGAGAGTTTATGTCCACGTCGAAAAAGGAAACGGAGTCACGTCAATCAATGCACGGAATAATAATATCACCAGCGAGTATCACCCTGTTGTTCGAAAACTGAGCCATATGATCGCACA